TGATACATCAGAACAATGACAATTCTACAGGTAATACATCAGAATAATGACAATTGTACTGGTGATACATCAGAACAATGACAATTCTACAGGTGATACATCAGAACAATGATCTTTTTTTCGATTTAAATATTTCGTGACTGCAGGGATTCATCTTCTTGGTTCTTTCCGTAAAGTCACGTAGAAGGGAAATAATAAAATAATAAAAAATAAAACATGATAAAATACAATTCTCACGACGTTTCGGCCACAATACAATTAGCCGTCCTCAGGTGAAGAAACAGAACTGTAGGAAAGACAGCGCTCCAATGAACACTGCTAAGCTTGGCAGCGTATTTTAAGCTGGGTGGGAGGAGCAGAGCGCCTTGACGAAGGAGTTTACATATCAACAGAATAATTTAGCATTGAAGTAGCTGTGTTAATGTGAGAGATTAGCATGATGTTACTGTGAGGAATTAGCATGTAACTGGGAGATTAGCACGATGTTAATGTGAGGAATTAGCATGTAACTGGGAGATTAGCATGATGTTAAATGTGAAGAATTAGCATGCAACTGGGAGATTACCATGATGTTAGTGTGAGGTATTAGCATGTAACTGGGAGATTAGCATGATGTTAGTGTGAGGGATTAGCATGTAACTGGGAGATTAGCATGATGTTAAATGTGAAGAATTAGCATGCAACTGGGAGATTAGCATGATGTTAATTTGAGGAATTAGCATGTAACTGGGAGATTAGCATGATGTTAGTGTGAAGAATTAGCATGTAACTGGGAGATTAGCATGATGTTAGTGTGAGGGATTAGCATGTAACTGGGAGATTAGCATGATGTTAATGTGAGGAATTTGCATGTAACTGGGAGATTAGCATGATGTTAGTGTGAAGAATTAGCATGTAACTGGGAGATTAGCATGATGTTAGTGTGAGGGATTAGCATGTAACTGGGAGATTAGCATGATGTTCATGTGAGGAATTAGCATGTAACTGGAAGATTAGCATGATGCTAATGTGAAGAATTAACATGTAACTGGGAGATTAGCATGATGTTAATGTGAGGAATTAGCATGTAACTGGGATATTAGCATGTAACTTATATTTTTACCAGTGGGTCCTCTTCGCGAAGTAGCCCTTGGGAGCCCATGCCATTCGCATAGACGGACTTAAGAACGTCGAGTTAAATCTTAAATGTCAAATTTAGAATCGTAGAATGACGACCCAACTCAGAGATATGAATGACCGTTCATGCAACCCAGACCACGGGACGATGTAGAACCTACGTCTTGAGACTGAGAGACCGGATGTTAGAACCACGTACGGTGTTTGCCACTTATTGCAAGGACCAACATTTTAACGAACTTATTTCGGACCTAATGTCCCGTGCAAGGTCTCAGGTTCCATATCACTAATTGATATATTTTCTGGGCGTGAGACTGAAAGGCTCCCTTCCTAGGCCATAACGCTGCTGATAGGAAGGAAGGCCCTGTCCCAATGAGCCCAACATTTATGTAGCGTGAACGAGAGCAACGTAAAAACACTGGTGACGAACAATTATACATCTAATGTTAATTACGCATGATCGTAAAGGGGTGTCGGGGATTGGTGGAGAGTGGCGGGGGGTGTGTAGGGGCTAGGTGGGAAATGGGGGAGGGATGGGGCTAGGGTGGTGGACGTGGGGAGAGGTGGGGGAGCGGTGGTGAAGAAAGGGGAAGGTTGGGGGAAGGGATGAGGGGAATGGAGGAGAGATGGAGGGGTGAATGGTGATAGGGGGGGGGGGGGGTTTACACCGTCGATCCACTTCTTGCGTGGCCCGGCCTCTGTTCTGACTGCTGCCACGTGGCAGTGCGAAGCCGCTCGTGGTGCTAATTGCTCGGCTTCCGAGTGTTTGTAACCGCGGCTAATAATTGCATCGCCCCCCCTCCCCCCCGCACGATTTTCTCCCACGTCGCTTTGCCCAGCCCCGCTCCTCGCCGCAGCGCCACGCGAGTTGCTGTCCGACTCCAACCGCGCGCCACTCATCCGCGTGAGAGCTCGCGTCGAGACGTCTTCTCTCTGCGGCAGGGCTGTGGTTATCCTCACCCCTTGGTTTGGCTGCTGTGTTAACCCCCACCCCCCCTCCTTCGTTGAATTTTGTTTCAACCGAATAACTCCCCCCCCTCCCCGCCCGCACCCCTTACCTGACCCAACATGGTTGTGAGAAATAAATGGATAATATTTTAACCACTTTGTCCATAGTGTGAGGTTATCCCTAACTAGCTGCCAGTAACTTGCAAGCGAATACAAAACAATTCAGCTTTAGCTGCTTACTCTTGTAAACCAACATCGTTTACGATCAACGAGTTTGTAAAGTTGTCTTATATCGCTCTAGGTTGGCATCTGGATTTTAAAAAAGAATCGTAGCCATTGTATATTGGCAGATTCATGCAACATGATTATTCACCAATGACTCTTATGTATGATATCATTTCACACATTTATAAATCACCTCACGTACACCCCCGGTTGAGAACCACTGGTGTAGTGTATAGTAGTGTAGTGTATAGCAGTGTATAGTGTAGTGTAGAGTAGCATAGTGTAGTGTATAGTGTCGCTTATAGTAGTGCATAGTGTAGTGTATAGGGTAGTGTATAGCAGTGTATAGTGTAGTGTATTGTACAGTGTAGTGTATAGTATGTGTGTAATGACTCATGTATGACGTAACTTCACACATTTATAAATCAGCTCACGTACTCCCTGGGACACTGTCACGTACCCCAAGGGATTCGCGTACCCCCGGTAGGGGAACCACTGCGGTAGGGGATGGGACTCGGTTCCCGCTGGTCGTGGCTGGAGATAGAGCGGTGGCTGCGAGTTTCCTGATCCCATAAGATATCCAAAGCTAAATCGGGTTGAACCGGGTTAGTACCTTGTGGGAATCTACCTGGCGGTACCAGGTGTTATAGGCTCGAGGTGCGAGGCGTCGAGGAGCAGTCGGCAGCAAAGCCATTGCTGATTTTAATCCCGCTTTGCGGGACTTTTGAGTTTTAACCCCTGGTGCGCATGGTCGATGTCCTCCACGGGCTCCCGTTTTCTCACATAAGCAAAATGTTCATAAATGGAATTGGCCAAACATCCCAATGCAGGATCCTCCTGAAAGCAAGTCTTGAGACTCACTAAGGCTTTAATGGTGTACACTGCACTGTAAACTCGACTACCTGAGTTCGGTTCCCAGCGACGACTCACATCAGTGACGAGCGATAAATAGGTCCTGGGACCTCTCTCTCTCTCTTCACCAACCCGCACAGACCCGCGTGGTGAAGTATGGCCAAATAACTCTCAAGACTGACACGGCATGGACAGGCTATAAAAAAATAATATCATCATAAATCACATAACCCGTAATCATTAGTATGATTTAAATAATAATTTGTATACCCTGACGTCGAACTGAGAGACCCATATCTTAAAGAGAGGGACCTTACCGATAACATCTGGCAGTTCATCAGCATTGATTCCAGCGAGCCTGACTCTACTGATGAGACACTGCGTGGCGAGCCAGATATAGGAAGGAGACGTATATTCTGCCCGTCTATTTTGTTATAATTAATATTATTATACTGTAGGCCTTGGGTGGTGGCAGGAATTAGTGGGGCTGGCGATGTGAGAAGTTCTTGAGAATTAGTTGCGTTCTGGGGCTCGGGTATAGCCAGTGGCGTAGTGACGACATTGTTATCAGCTCAGGGGGGGGGGGGGGTGGTGCAGCAATCGGTCAGGTGGGACCCCCAATATTTTATTTGTCTCTTTGCACGTTCGCACGCTCGAGGCTGTTGTGTGTCGCGGCTCCTCTGGCCCTACTCCCATCGTCGTTACGCTCGCGGTCGCGAACACGGAACGCTGTCGTGGCGCTCCCCTCTTCGCACTTTAAATTAAGACGTGGAAAGAAAATGAAATCGTTTTCGTAAAAAAAAACTAATTTAAACCGCGTGTTTAAATAAGTGTTGTTGTTCTTTTGATACTGTTGTTGAAAACAAATCTCATGGTGGTTGTCAAAGGCCCCCCACCCCTCCCCAACTCGTAGCTTTGGCCACCAGGGGGTGGGGTGGCGGGATGGGCCAACCCCCCTCCCCCCCCCCCCCCCCCCCGACTGCCCCCACGCTTCTCGTTCGGCGACCGCGGCGTTCGCCCTCGAGCCGTCGCTGTCCAAGGTGCTGAGGCACCCAGCGCCCTTGCGACGACAGCAGCGCCACCTCCTGGTGCCGACTCGCACGGGGCCCCAACCAGCCGCAAACAATCCGTGGCGCGGTTTCATTTGCCATCGTCATCAGCCATGGTCAATCCACTGCTGGGTTGTATGAGCGTGGCTTTATTTATTCCCAAGCCCACGTTTATAAAGTGTATACATTGCGTCTGCCTATTCTCTCTTACTCACTTGGTCCCATTGGTCCCTCTGTAATTCTCAGCAGATCATCGCAGAGTGTGCCAATCACTGCGCCACTGCTCACCCTCCCTCCCCCCTATGCAACACGTCCGTCAAGAACATTGAATCGATCAAGCCATCATAAATCCACTGCTGGATATCATAATTTTAATCACCGGCCATAATCGATGTGCTGCTGGATGAAAGGTTTGCCCAATGTCATTCGCCTTTATTAACCGTCAAATCGATGTCCGCGTTTGTTCCCAAACCCACCGTGTTCCTCCTTCTGCCCCTCCGTGTAATTACGAGCGGTATTCCTTCGCGGCGTAGTGCGCTAACCACCACGCCACCGCTCCCCCATGTGTGTGTTTTTTTGTTGTTTAAGTACAGTACTGTGTACGGTAAATGCACAATCACACCTGGCTACACCCGCCCGTGGGACGGAGCGACGCAGCCTGGCCTCGGTGAGTATTGCACCCAGGCGTAACCTCGGGAACAGTGACGAAAAAATACGCCCGGCCGCCTTTGTCTCCCCAGTACCGACGTGTTTTTTTTACACAGCGCACGAGATACTCGTTTAAGGCTGAGTCGACTTAGGGGAGGGCCCACGACCGATTTAGAAATTTCGTCGAATTTGGCTCGCCGGGTTTCCTAGCAGTGTGCTAACCGCTGCACCACCGCTCCCCCGTCATCCACATATATACACAGACACACAGCCGCACACGGTCACACACAGAAGTCACACACAGAAGTCACACACGCCCATTTAGAAGAAGGAGCGACGCAGCCTGGCCTCTGCGAGTATTGCATCGCGGCCGCGACCTCCAGCAAGCGACGGTGGAGACATAACACACGGAGGGCACAAGATGAATCCCAGCAAGAGCGCTTCCTCCGGCGTCGGGGCCGACGCCAAAGAGACCAAGAGCGCCGGTGAGTGGCGGGCGACGGCCATGAGCTTTCTCTGTGCCACGCACAACGCGACCTATGCAGGTGGACGTTGGGAGGTGTCTGTGTGTGTCTGTGTCTGTGTGTGTCTGTGTGTGTTGCCTGGGGGGGAGCGGTAGTGTCGTGGTTAGCGCTACGCTGCGCTACGAACCTGGCGACCCGAGTTCGATTCCCGCTCATGGCCAACACCGGTGACGATTATCGAAACGGTACCCGGGCCTCCCCTAGGTCGACTCAGCCTCAAATGAGTGCCTGGTGCGGTGTGTAAACATCGCCGCTAGGGAGACAAAGGCGACCGGGCGTGGTGCTGGCCACCCACCCCCTCGTGTGCCGTGCCGGCCTTTATAGATGCTCGCTAACAGCACTTGCCCCTACAGTATGTTAAGGCTATACGGGGGCTCTTTGTCTTTGTGTTGCCTGCGTCGTGTGGAAACCGCATGCCAACCGAAGCGGCTTCTGTTTAGTCCTAGAGAAGGGACGGGAGCTGATGCGGTACGGGAGGACGTTGAGCCCGAGTTGGACTTGGAGATGACCGCTAACCCAGCGGTGTCGAGATCGACCTCTGCGGAGGAGGGAGGGCACGTGAAGGACGCTGCTGCTGCTGCTGTTGGGCAGTTGGAGGCAGTCGCCCTCCAGCCAACAACGGAGGGCGGCGGAGGAGCAACGCTCACGACAACGAGCGGAGCGCCGGGAAGATAAAACGCAGCGAGTTGGCGCAGTGGGGAAGCACAGCTGGTGCATCTACCAGTCATCTACCAGTCATCTACCAGTCATGTACCAGTCATGTACCAGTCATGTACCAGTCATCTACTAGTCATGTACCAGTCATCTACCAGTCATGTACCAGTCCTCTCAGTCAGCCCGTGGGACCCGGGTCTATCCCGCGACCTCCTGCCACCGCTCCCCCCCAGACTGGTAGATGACTGGTACCAGTCATGTACCAGTCATCTACCAGTCATGTACCAGTCATCTACCAGTCATGTACTAGTCCTCTCAGTCAGCCCGTGGGACCCGGGTCTATCCCACGACCTCCTGCCAGCGGGAATACCGCACTTAACGTGGCCTCAGAGTGAACGTAGCCTGGCACGAGCGCTGTGGTGACGTCAACGCCACTTACTGGCGAATGGCGGCTGTTGTGGGTTTTTTTTTGGTCACAGCGCGCAGAAAATGACCGATAGGGTCCCTCCACATCCTTTGCTCTCACTGTACGCGCATTGCTGCGCGGTGTGTGTGTCGATCCTCATCATGATGGGCGGATGGATGAATATCCTTTATTTAACCAATTTAGAGAGTGCGCGGTGCGATCCTGCTCCGTTCCATTGACCAAAAATACCGAAACGCACCGAGGCTCTCCTGGAGGATGCGCGAACGAGATAACGATCACTGCCATCGGCATCGCCATCAGACTTTGTCAATCCACTGCTGGATGAAGGCTTCCCGGAAGCCGCCATCACCACCATTAAACACGATCCTGCGATGTTGATGATCCACCTCGCGCCTGCACCGGCACTGATTTTGATACCGCTCCATCTCTCATGGTTGGTGGCCTCGCTCTCGAACGCGTTGCATTCCCCGAGAGGCGATCGCGTCGTCGTAAATCGCGTCGGTCGTGGGAGTTTCGTTCCATAGCCATACTTCACCACGCTGATCAATGCCTATCGGTGAAGGTCACCCCCCCCCGCCCCCCAGCGATGTCAGCCGTGACTCGGAATCTAACTCGGGTGGCCAGTTTTAGCGCAGTGCGTTATCTCGACCACTCACTGCGCCAGTCCCTCCCATCGTGATCGTCAAATATTTTTAAAACAATAAAAGATCTATCTCTAGAGATGCGTTCGTATTCGGACGTGACGTGAAACCCAAGTATGTACGTAAGGATGATTACGACATTTGCTCATTACATATTACGAAGCCAATGCATGTTCTTAAACACACACGCCAGCATTTAGATGCTCGTTTGCAATGTGCGGCCTACAGGATACTCGCTGCGTATCGGGACCAGCATTGAGTACAGAGTCTGTAATATCCATCCACACGCGAGTCTGTAATATCCACACTAGAGTCTGTAATATCCACACTAGAGTCTGTAATATCCACACTAGAGTCTGTAATATCCACACTAGAGTCTGTAATATCCACACTAGAATCTGTAATATCCACACTAGAGTCTGTAATATCCACACGAGAGTCTGTAATAGCCACACTACGCAAATAATGGCAATTGTTTAATAACTCCCCGTATAAATGACCAGTAAGGTGGATACATTATTCCATCATGGCCACTGCGTATGCTTTTTGACCTCCTGCCAGCGAGCTTGCGACAATTCCTGTCCCCTTCAAGTGCACCTAGCCTGGCACAGGGGCTGTGGCGGCGTCACCGTCGATAATTAGTGACGAATGGTGGCTGTTGTTGATGCTGCTTCTGCTGCTGTTTATGTTAACCGCGCCGAGTGTATACTAAAGACAATAGTGACATTTAACCACCAACAACAACGAATTGCTTGCGTCGTAAATTGAAGCAACAACAAACAACCTTCACACAACACATCGTTACTGTGTTGCAAACGAGTCCCCAAGCCTTTTAGGTGACCGCGGAGGCGAGGTTTGTAGTTTTACAGAGTGGGCCGTGACCGGCGTCGTGCCACTCCCGACACGGGCGCTGTCCTTGGTGCTGAAATTGCGCTTAGCCCCACCTAGTGGTGAGCTAATCGCAATGGGTATTGCAACTGCAGGAGGAATCCGATGAGCTACTAAGCTCTTTTTTCACAGATGTCCAGTAAGGGGCCGTCCATAAATTACGTCACGCACCTATGTGGGGGGGGTTCAGACATTTGTGACGATGTGTAACGAGGGGGGGGGGGGGGGGTTTGAGAAATGTGACGTCAAAATGCGCAACTTTAAATAATTATAGGCAACACGTTCTACTTATATTATATTCTTGGTTCTTTCGGTAAAGTCACGTTGAAGGGAAACAATAAAATTCTCACGACGTTTCGACTGCAACACAAGCAGTCATCATCAGGTGTGACAACCAACGGCAATGATGATGACTGCTTGTGTTGCAGTCGAAACGTCGTGAGAATTTTATTGTTTTATATATATTTTATTATTTTATTGTTTCCCTTCTACGTGACTTTACCGAAAGAACCAAGAATATAAAGCATAGTTTATATATATATTTCTTTTATAGTTTTACAAATGTGAGTTGTCATCGTCTATGTTGTTGTCGCCCTCTAGGACACGACGGAGTGGAGGTGGAGCACATGGACGGGGAGCCCGCTGCTAACGGGGGCCCCGAGGTAAAGAACTGCGTTGTGGACGCGCGGCCACGGGGCGGGGGGGGGGGGGTAGTCTGTGGACGCGCAGCCACGCGTATGAAAAACTTTAAGCGTAAAATTTTCGTGATTTTTTTTTAGTTTACCCTTCAGAGATTCGGCCGAATTAACGACCCAAGGGTTCGTTCGTTGCCCTCATCAGCAAGCCACGTTTTCTTTCCTCTCTCGTGGGCTTCGGGACGTCCGGTACGGCTCGTTAGCTTAGAGTGGAGGTTTCCTTCCGCGAGTCTTGGCTACGATTCGACGATTCATAGAGAAGAAGAAAAAACTAAACAAAAACTCGACTCTCGTGCGACTGCGCATTGTGACCACATCGCCAGCTGTCGCCCCGTCTCCATCGACCACTCGCGAGGTCGTCGATTGACCCCCGAGGGGTTTGACGGTAGAGACCTCGGTGGAAGGTGGTCGACAAAGTGGTGATGCAGCCCGCAGTCAAGACCCCCCCCCCCCCAGCTAGGGTCAGAATACGAATCGTGCTGCTCGTAACCAGGACTGTCCATAGTGGGAGAGGGGGGGGGGTGTAGCAGGGCCCGGGCACACCACCACACCGCGCCTTCAAACTAAAGCGGAAGAGACAGACCTGTTGGGACGACAGAGCTTCAATAAGCTCTGTCGTCCCAACAGGTCTGTCCCTTTCACCTGAAGAAGGCCACTTGTGTTGTGGCCGAAACGTCGTGATAATTTTATTGTTTTATTTTATTATTTTATTCTCATTCTACGTGGTGACTTTACCGAAAGAACCAAAGAAGATGAATCATTGCAGTCACGAAAGCTTTGAATCGAAATTTAAAGCGGAAAAATTACATCTGACACCGTGACGTTGAAGCGCGCCCCCCCCCCCCAAGGCGCGGGGCCCTGGGCACTCGCCCCGATTCGTCGTACCCTGGTTGTAGCGCGCCTGGAGCGAGCTCGATCGCCGATTTAGCGCGTATGCTTTCGCCACCAACGTTATTCAAAATTAAGTTTTTGCTGAGTTCAGATCGCGTGAATATAAAGGCGTCGTCGACAGGTTCTGGCTTGTCGCCCGATGAAGCTGGTTGTGGTAATCGGCGGCGAAACGTCGTACTTCAAATGGTAAATGTTGTGGGTTTACACTCCAACACGACCGGTGGTGGTGAAGTGGTAACACATTGACACCTTTTGTTCGCGTGACAAACCCTACCAGTTTACCACGTGGTAGGCTTTCGCGACCAATATCATCCAAAACAGAGGGGTTTTTTTTGCTGTTGGGTTAGATCGAGTAAAGCTTTCGTGACTGCAATGATTCATCTTCTTTGGTTCTTTCGGTAAAGTCACGTAGAATGATAATAAAATAATAAATTGATAAAATAAAATAACACAATAATATTCTCACGACGTTTCGGCCACAACACAAGCGGCCTTCATCAGGTGAAGGGGGCGAGACTGTCTGGTAGGACAGCGCTGGAGTGAAAGAGTCACGTTCAGATACGGCTTAAAGGCCGTATCTGAACGTGGCTTAAAGGCCGTATCTGAACGTGGCTCTTTATATAAATGTGTCGTTAAACCCGCCACCACCCGACACAGCCAATTAGTAAGTTGTGTCACGTAGACAAAGCGTGCCAATTCGTTACTAGCACAGCACGCCGCGGTGCGTTGGAGAGCAAATCCACATTTACAATCTGAGTACGACGTTTCGCCAGTAATTACAACCGGCATCATCAGGCAGACAGCCAATTGTCTGCGTCTGGTGGGGGTTTACAACACCTTCACGTTCACGCGATATAACCCTGAAAAAAAACGTCATTCCATCACGATCGCTCGCTCAGTATCCATCCGTGGCCAAACGCGAAATTGTCCCCCTCTCCCCGAGCCGCTGAATCGACGGTGGCGCGCGTCTTTGCCCGCTCCCCTCCCGCAGAAGTTTTTCGGCCTCTCAACGAAGGAGTGGGGCCTGGTGGCCCTGGGGCTCCTGGCGGTCGTTGGACTCGCCGTGTACGTCAAGCGGCGCGACTGAGACCAAGCCGATCCTGCCGCTCCCACCCCCTCCCTCCCTCCCACACCGACCTCCCGACCGAGATGCAATCGTCCGGAGACGAGGAGACCCTCGCCACGCACGCACGAGACGGCCGCGCGTCGTCGTCAGCCGTCGTCGCCCCAGTTGTCAACACTTAGCGGAGTAGCTGCGGCAGCGTTGCCCTCCACCGATCGTTATTGGAGTGCCTCGGCCGGTGCGAGTGGTAATGGGTTTACACGGAATGTGTGTGTGTGTGCGTGCGGCTCACACGCAGGCACGACGGGCTTCGTCTATAATATAGGGGTTTTTTGTGTTGGGTTAGATCGCGTAAATATATAAATGTGTCGTGAAACCCGCCACCACCCAACACAGCCAATTAGTAAGGTTTGTCACGTAAAACAAACATGGCAATTCGTTACTAGTTCAGCACACCGGTTGTGTGTTGGAGAGTAAACCCACGACAACGTTTACAATTCGAGTAGCGTGACGTTTCGCCGCCGGTAATTACAACAACAAGCAGCCTCATCAGGCGACAGCCAGAATTGTGCAGATATCCTCCTGCTGTTTCGGGTTTAATGACACATTTATATTTATGCGATCTAACCCCCCAAAAAAACCTTTTATCATGGAAAATATTGGTCACGAACGCCTACTGCGCGTTGAACAGGCATCATCACCGTAGTGAAAATGTAATTCGTAACACGCACAATTGAAGTAATATATTTGACCGTGATTCGGTGGCACGGAGCCAAAGTTGGTGTCGCTCAGGCGAGAGACCACGGCATACGATCGCCAAGTCGCGTGTACGACGTTCTCAGCCTTGTCCAGACCACCAACTCAAGGGCTGAACGTTTGGCCGCATTGCTGCCTGTGCGCCTGCACGCACTAACATGCTCTGTCGTGGGGGTTTTTCTTCATTTACAGAGGGTGTTGGATCTGAGTAAAGCCCCTTGACAATTAATCGATTAATGGATCAATGTTTATTGTTAAAATCATGATCCATGCATCAAAGGGTCCATGTAAGAATAGGTAACAGACCAAAAGTAAAGGTATAATGATGCATCAATTAATAGCAATATCAGTTCTTAAGCACACGATACGCGCAATAATGAATCGCGGCTGTAAGAACTGATGTTTCACAATTTGTGTACAGTGCAGTACTGATTATCTTGTTGCTGATAGGTTTAATGTGACCCCTGCAGCCACCATGGGTGCAATGTAAAAAATTAATTGATTTTTTTATCTAATCAGGACTCTGAATCGCAACAATCCATCACTCAATTAAACCCCTATTTTAAACAATTACGTAAAAAGTATATATATGAACATTTAATGTATCAGTCTCATCAGGTAGCTGTGGCCTGATAAACTGATGCTCCAATTGTCACAGACAGGAGAACTGCTATTCATTTTCATTGGGTCTCATCAGCAAGCTGTAGCCTCACAATCCAGTGGCCCATGTGTGCCCTCCAGTATCGCACGCTGGGGGAGAGACATCCCCACACAGCCAATGTCCACCGCCAAGCATTCGGCCAAAATTGCTCTTGCTCTATTTTATCATTGCGCAGAAAATAATGATAAAAAAGTGAAGTTGACACGAGGCATCCCGGCATACTTCCTGTGTGCATTCTCACGTGACAGATAGCCCAGCTGTTAAGTCAGAGGTTGACCTCAGTGTCTGAGCAGTAAACCCACTCAAATAGTTACACACGCATTTAACACACCGTAAAATATTGTAAATTGTCGTAGCTACGAACACTCACTTAACCCAAGTCCACTGTGGACCAATAAATGGAAGTGTATTCTATGCCCTCTTGTTTCGTCTCTTCTCTGCCTCTTGCTTAATTAATTTTGATTTAAATTAAGTTTAAATTTCAAAAGCCACCACATTTCCGGGAGGCTCAACCCGAACACATGGCGAGCTGGCAGCCTCTGCCACGCCTCTGACAGTCCTTATCTATTCTAGATTTGAAGCTTTCGTGACTGCAAGGATCCATACTCTTTGGTTCTATTCGGTAAAGTCACGTAGGTAAAAAATAAAACAACAAAAATCACGACGTTTCGGCCACAACACAAGCGGCCTTCATCAGGTGAAGGGAGCAGACTGTCCCGAGGACAGCACTGGAGTGAAACACAGCCACGCTCAGACCGCGACCTTTAAGCTGTGTGCGAGGAAACAGAGCGCCTTGACAAAGGAATTGGCATGTTCACCCGCATGTACACCACCTCTACACCGTTCATCATGCTAAGTCGGCCAATCAAATGCTAATTTTATGCTAATTCCTTTGTCAAGGCGCTCTGTTTTCCTCGCACACAGCTTAAAGGTCGCGGTCTGAGCGTGGCTGCGTTTCCCTCCAGCGCTATCCTCGAGACAGTCTGCTCCCTTCACCTGATGAAGGCCGCTTGTGTTGTGGCCGAAACGTCGTGATTTTTGTTGTTTTATTTTTTACCTACGTGACTTTACCGAATAGAACCAAAGAGTATAGTCCTCGTCTACTTGTACATGGCCACGCCCACCGCTCAGTCGCTATCCCCGCCCATAACGGTGAGTGCCCTCATTCGCTCATTGATGTGAGTCCTGCCTCCAGAGACTCCTCTACTTACGAACATTCGACTTACGAACGTTCAGAGACACAACAAAATCTGGTCCGTATGTTCAATTGCCTGTTCGGCCCGAAAGTTGTAAAATTCATCCGCCGTACAATAGATGGCGGTGGTGTCATCTACATCTGCAGAACATGAAGAACCAGTGACATCTACATCTACAGGAAATTATACAACTTTTAAAGCCATTCCCCGTGTTTAGTGTACACGCTGTACAACGTGTTTGGAATCGAGTAAAGTTGGATTTACGAACAAATCGACTTGTGAACAGACCTCTGTAACCTAAACTCGTTCGTAAGTAGAGGAGTCATTGTAGTTGCTCATAGGCCCCCAGGCGCCAGCCATGTAAAAATCAGTGCTTCTGTACAATAGTGAAAGTTGGAGAACCACCAAGATAGACGTGATGGACCAATCAGTTTCAAGGACAATGCATATATTATCATAGTATGTTTTTTGTTTGCATTTTGACTGCAGGTATTGTGATTAATGCAGACATGAATCCTTGTAAAAAGGTTTCAGTTTTGTTGCCAAAAAAAGGGGAAAAACCCCTATTATTAGACGTGAACTTCCTATCAACCTTCCACAACAACTGCCTGAGGCAAATCTGTTGCATCTTCTGGCCAAACAAGATTTCGAACCGGCACCCTGTACATCAGGACCAATTCAAGACGCACAACGCGGGGGGACACAACGGAGAGAAGACTCGGGTGGCTGGGACACGTGCTGAGAATGGAACCCGAGTCCATAGCGAAGACCGCCCCGCGGTGGACACCGCACGGGAAGAGGCCACGGGGCAGGAAGAAGATCACATAGAGACGGCACCACAGAGGGGCCCGTCTTTCAGTGTCATTTATGTTGGTATAGCCTTGTGAGCCATTCGGCTCTTGAATCGGGTGCAACCGCAACAAACACAAAACAAAAACACGAACAAGAAAACATCTTAAAGTGACTTTGTGCATGTGCAAACAGAAAATCCAGGGAAAAACATCAAAATATTCCTGAAAAAAGCACCGTACACCAACGCTGTGTACAAAAATCCCAGTGGGATGCAAGTCAAACAACAACAACAACCACAAGACAATTAAGATTAAGGCCATCAGTATAACTCCGTACCACAACAAACAAACATGGCCAAACCAAAAATCGTTTTCGAAATCACCAAAATAAAGCCATAAAAGCAATGTAACAGTCTTGGGGTGAAGTGGAGAAAGCTGCTCAAGACCGTCTGGCATGGCGTGGGCTTGTTGCGGCCGTGTGCTCCACATGGAGCGAAGAGGAGTCGGTCAGTGAGATATCAGCCACTGCGTTGGGCCATCATTTGTGGGTAGCCAGGTCGCTTCTGAAAAATAACTTTCCAGCTCAGTGGGGCCTTACCCGCTAAAATAAAAAGTGGTTTTAAAATTGTTTAAACGTGGAGCGCCAACGCGGAATGGATCACACAGTGCTTGGTGGAGTCACCACCGTTGTTTTATTCCATCAGCCTTTTTAGTGGCTTTTCCGGGCCAACATTATCAAGGGGCATTTTGCCTGCGCAAGCAAAATGTGACGAATTTGCGTTTATCGATTAACGAGTGAGCGCCTCCATAAAACTATAAACTTTTTTTATTTTACCAGGTCAGGCGCCACTGAGATGTGTAGATTTTTCTCTTGTGCTATCACAAATTATAGCCCAACGAAGTGGCTTAAAATGTGTAAATGTGCAGTGGCATTACTGGGTGTGATACACGAATGCCACTGCTCTTTAGATGTAGTGCCAGACCCGGGATAACAGGGGGCGGAATAATTCCCCCGGATCGAGTTGGGCCGTGGCACTCAGCTAGGGGGGCTCGTACGGACCCCAGGACTCCCAATAGGGGGCTTTGGGGATGACATGTCGACAGCCCAGGTACTTCTCGGAGGTTCGAGAAGAAGGGCGTGGCGAGGGGCGGAGAGACTATAGAAGCCGGACCCCTGAATGGGTTCGACTGCCGCTGTGTGCTTGAAGACCCGAAGCCGTCAGCCTGAAGAGGATCACGAAGACGGGACCCGGACCCCAGCCAGGGTCAGGTCGAAGTCAGCCTCCCCAGTGTTAGGGCGCGTTAGCCCGGAGGATTTACCTCCGTAGAGTATCGGGTGGAAGGGGTCGTTACCCCTTCGTGTTAAGGTCAACCTTGTTATAATAAAGTGTTACCTCTAAAGAAATCTCGCTCTCCATTCTACCCGCTACAAATGTATAGCAGCCAAATACCCTAAACGCGTGATGTTGATTCTAAATGTGGAGGGAAAGATCCGGAGGGACCCAGAGAAAAATCCTCGCGACTACGGGGAGAGAGAGAGACACCGCAAGCTCCAAATATACAGCAGCAGCAGGCATTGTCATAGTCGTGAACAAACCCACGACCTCCTGTACACCAGGCGAGGTAGTTAACATCTAGCCACCGTGATGATGATGAGAGAGACACCGCAAGCTCCAAATATACAGCAGCAGGCATCGTCAGGGTCGTGAACGAACCCACGACCTCCTGTACACCGGGCGAGGTAGTTAACATCTCATAGCCACCGTGATGATGATGAGAGAGACATCGCAAACTCCAAATATACAGCAGCAGCAGGCATCGTCAGGGTCGTGAACGAACCCACGACCTCCTGTACACCAGGCGAGGTAGTTAACATCTCATAGCCACCGTGATGATGATGAGAGAGACATCGCAAACTCCAAATATACAGCAGCAGCAGGCATCGTCAGGGTCGTGAACGAACCCACGACCTCCTGTACACCGGGCGAGGTAGTTAACATCTCAGCCACCCAGTTGCCTCTGGGCCGGATCATTGAGAATAAAGAACCCTTTCCAAACTTTACCGGACATTTGCGAACAAAAAGAGTTTCGTAGCTCATCGGATTCCTCCCGCAGTTATCAATACATCACGCACACAACTTACCCTCGACTTGCAAACAACCACAATAAACACGAACACCATGCAATAAAAACCCGCGCGAGATTCGCAAGTTAATCACACACACACAAAAAAAGCCTTCTCATCGCGCGAGGTCGCCGATTGCGAAATCGTAGCGCGTATTAAATAAAATAAGAATGATGTGCAAGTCGGGTTCTGGTATATAAACAACAACAAGAAGAAGAAGCAGTAACAGGCGCGCAGCTACTCAACCCGTACGGCACCAACCCCACGTATCGTTAAACAACCACTCGTAGCCATCAAATTAGTCCCCTGTCTCTCTCTCTCTTCGTCGTCGTCGTCCCGCTTTTAAGCGTTCAAATACAAAGTTTAAAAGGGGGGGTGGGCAAAGACACGATGGCTTCTGCGGTGAAGAAGGTCGTGGTGTTCGGTGCCACGGGCATGACCGGCTTGGAGGTGCTGCCGCAGGCGGTCAAAGCCGGTAAGGCGCGCCAGGCGAGACCGTAGGCTTCGCCACGGGGTTAGGCCTCACTTTCTCTCCTCGTGCAAATAACGTGCCGTGCTTAAAGCTATGGCAGTGATACAAAGTTGTGTTCTGTAGTTATAAAATACCGTAAACGTTGCTTTTACGATGTCGTGCATGCTGCCGAAGCTGTTCATCCTGATATTTTAACGTATCGTGTGTCAAGCCTGATGTTAACAATCATGTTTTTTTGCTGTGAGTGGGGTGTTTTTTTCGTGACAACTTTAAACTTTGGAAGTATAATTCGCGCGTTTTTTTTCCTTTAATGTAGCATTAGCAATGTCCAACATTATTCGCGGGAAACATGTTTGTGTGATGTGCCCTCCGTGCATTACAAAACCTGCCATGCTTACAATTGCACCAGTGCAGACTTAACAGCTTTTAACTCTTACTGGCCGTGCCTTTAGTCACAACTTCCATCCCTTCATCAACTAACTCGCCTGGACCAGAGTGGTGAAGTATGGTCAAACAATCACACCACTCCCCCCCCACGGCATGATAGGGGGGAGGGGAGTCCCCCCATCATTCCCAGCGGTGCTATTGACCAAGGGCTGCTGCTAACTTGTGTGTACGCGCGACTTATTTTCTAAGTTCAACACGTAGAAGACTTTCGCGACCAATATTATTAATAATAAAAGTTTTTTGTGGTTAAATCGCGTAAGTATAAATGTGTCGTAACCCTCCACCACCCGACACAGCCAATTCGTAAACAAAACGCGCCAATAAGTTACCACTTCAGCCCACCGGTGTGTTGGAGAGCAAATCCACAACATTTACAATTCTCCAACACACCGGTGGGCTGAAGCAGTAACTTATTGGCGCGTTTTGTTTACTAATTGGCTGTGTCGGGTGGTGGAGGGTTACGACACATTTATACTTACGCGATCCAAGCCAAAACCCTGCATTCATTATAAGTCTTACCCAACACGGCGTGCGTGCTCTATTTCCTATCTCCACGCCGTGTCCCAACAGACGTGTGGCAATCAGGCTTCGGCATGGTCATATTGCAGTCCCAGGGGACGTGGAACGTTGGCCTAACGTTGGTCCAACGTTGGCCCGACGGTTCCAGGCACAGGCGAACGTTGGGTCAACGTTGCCATGTGCTGGGCGCCACGGTGGCTAGGAGATGTTAACTACCCTGACGACGCCTGCAGCTGTATATTTGTGGTCTGCGTCTCTCTATCTTATCATCATCATCACCACGGTGGCTATGAGATGTTAACTACCTCGCCCGGTATGCAGGAGGACGTGGGTTCGATCCCAACCCTGACGCCTGCTGTATATTTGAAGTCTGTCTCTCCCTCTCATCATCATTACAGTGGCTATGAGATGTTAACGACCTCGCCTGGTGTACAGGAGGTCGTGAGTTCGATCCCGACCCTGACGCCTGCTGCTGCTGCTGTATATGTGGAGTTTGCGTGTCTCTCTCCCCGTGGTCGCGTGGATTTTTCTCCGGGTCCTCCGTTTTTTTTCCCTCCACATTTAGAAACATGCGTTTAAGACTATTTGACTGTCGTACATTTCCGCGTGATGGTAAGCCACTCCGTTGAGCAATCATTTGTGATAGCCAGGTCGCTTCTGAAAAAGAGATAATACATAGCTCAAGGCGCCCTTTTTGGTAAAATATATATTTTAAAAAATATACTTTTAAGGCTTCATACATATCGTCAGCCATGTTCTGTCCCCTGCTGGATGAAGTACCGCCCCTCCTGGCATTGCCATCTCTCGCGGGCCCGAGATTACACAATCCCTTTGCTGCACATGCACTTATCTCATCATGCCATCTCCATGGTGGGCCATCCTCTCGGTCCTGCTCCGTCTATCGGCTGACACTTGCCCATCAGCCGTAATTCCGCTTAGCTAAGTGTCCTCAAGCCCCGCTGACTTTCCTTAACGGTTGCAATTATAAAAAAAATGTTTAGGCTTTTCGCAGCCGTACCGTTCCTTGTCGGGGACAGAGTCCACATTCATTAATAATTCCAGCCTTGACACCCACAGTACAAAGAGTTACCCCTCACGTTACCGTAGCCAATTATCAACCAGGGATGGGCATAAGTCAGTACGTTTCTCTGATCGTGCTGGCACGGTTGTCCGATTGGGTCTGGTTTGTGTCCTTGTCAGCTTTTTTGTTTTATCTTCTTCGACCTTGTTTCCGATCCGCATGTCACAGCGGGTGCTGATGACACTGCCTTTGTGCATGCAAAATTAATTCTAAACCAAACGATTTTTATTTTACCAGGTGACGTCCACTGAGATATATAGCTCTTTTCAGAAGCGACCTGGCCACAAATAATAGCCCAATGAAGTGGCTTATCACGTAGCAATTTATAGCAGCCAAATACTCTAAATGCATGTTGTTAAATGTGGAGGCAAAACGAGGACACGGAGAAAAATCCTCGTGACCACGGGGAGAACATGCAAACTAATATACAGGCATCGGGGTTGGGACCGAACCCGTAACCTCCTGTATACCATGCGAGGTAGTTCACATCTCGCCACCATGCCACCCTCCACTCCCCACCTTGCAGGCTACACGGTAACGGCATTCGTGCGCAACGCGGCGCTGCTGCCGGCCGGATTGGCGCTGGAGGTGGTGACGGGCGACGTGCTGAACCCGGAGGATGTGAGCCGCGCCGTGGCCGGGCAGGACGCCGTCGTCATTGTTCTGGGCACGAGGAACGAGCTCGGTGAGACATTGCCCCCGGACCTGGCCGCCCTCTCCACGGTTTGAGGCGCTCGGTTCGCTTTCCAAAGACGTACGAGTGAGCGGCTCTATATAAGTATAATTTTTTTTATTTGACCAGATAAGGCCCCACTTAGCTGTATAGCTCTTTTTAAGAAGCGACCTGGCTATCATAAATGATAGCACAACAAAGTGGGTTTCATCATCACGTGGAAATGTATAGCAACAGCTACAGTGAGGGAAAAAAGTATTTGATCCCCTGCTAATTTTGTACGTTTGCCCACTGACAAAGAGATGATCAGTCTATAATTTTTACGGTAAGTTTATTTGAACAGTGAGAGACAGAATAACAACAACAAATCCAGAAAAACGCATGTCAAAAATGTTATAAATTGATTTGCATTTTAATGAGGGAAATAAGTTTTGGAGCCCCTCTCAATCAGAAAGATTTCTGGCTCCCAAGTGTATTTTATACAGGTAACAAGCTGAGATTAGGAGCACTCCCTTTAAGAGTGTGCTCCTAATCTCAGCTCGTTACCTGTATAAAAGGCACCTGTCCACAGAAGCAATCAATCAGATTCCAAACTCTTCACCATGGCCAAGACCAAAGAGCTCTCCAAGGATGTCAGGGACAAGATTGTAGACCTACACAAGGCTGGAATGGGCTACAAGACCATTGCCAAGCAGCTTGGTGAGAAGGTGACAACAGTTGGTGCGATTATTCGCAAATGGAAGAAACACAAAAGAACTGTCAATCTCCCTCGGCCTGGGGCGCCATGCAAGATCTCACCTCGTGGAGTTGCAATGATCATGAGAACAGTGAGGAATCAGCCCAGAACTACACGGGAGGATCTTGTCAATGATCTCAATGCAGCTGGGACCATAGTCACCAAGAAAACAATTGGTAACACACTATGCCGTGAAGAACTGAAATCCTGCAGCGCCCGCAAGGTCCCCCTGCTCAAGAAAGCACATATACATGCCCGTCTGAAGTTTGCCAATAAACATCTGAATGATTCAGAGGACAACTGGTTGAAAGTGTTGTGGTCAGATGAGACCAAAATGGAGCTCTTTGGCATCAACTCAACTCGCCGTGTTTGGAGAAGGAGGAATGCTGCCTATGACCCCAAGAACACCATCCACACCATCAAACATGGAGGTGGAAACATTATGCTTTGGGGGTGTTTTTCTGCTAAGGGGACAGGACAACTTCACCGCATCAAAGGGACGATGGACGGGGCCATGTACCGTCAAATCTTGGGTGAGAACCTCCTTCCTTCAGCCAGGGCATTGAAAATGGGTCGTGGATGGGTATTCCAGCATGACAATGACCCAAGGCAACAAAGGAGTGGCTCAAGAAGAAGCACAGCATGAAAATGACCCAAGGCAACAAAGGAGTGGCTCAAAGAAGAAGCACATTAAGGTCCTGGAGTGGCCTAGCCAGTCTCCAGACCTTAATCCCATAGAAAATCTGTGGAGGGAGCTGAAGGATCGAATTGCCAAACGTCAGCCTCGAAACCTTAATGACTTGGAGAAGATCTGCAAAGAGGAGTGGGACAAAATCCCTCCTGAGATGTGTGCAAACCTGGTGGCCAACTACAAAAAACGTCTGACCTCTGTGATTGCCAACAAGGGTCTTGCCACCAAGTACTTAGTCATATTTTGCAAAGGGGTCAAATACTTATTTCCCTCATTAAAATGCAAATAAATTTTTGACATGCGTTTTTCTGGATTTTTTTTGTCTCTCACTGTTCAAATAAACCTACCATAAAAATTATAGACCGATCATTTCTTTGTCAGTGGGCAAACGTACAAAATCAGCAGGGGATCAAATACTTTTTTCCCTCACTGTAAATACTCTGAACTCGTGATGTTGATTCTAAATGTGGAGGGAAAAACCCGAGGACCCAGAGAAAAATCCACCCGACCACAGGAAGCGAAACACGCAAACTGCAAATACACAGCAGGCGTCAGGGTCAGGATCGAACCCACGACCTCCTGTATACCAGGCGAGGTAGTTAACATCTCCTAGCCACCGTGGGACCCTGCCACCACCTGACACAGTCAATTAGTAAGATTTGTCACGTAAACAAAACGTGCCACTTAGTTGGTAGTTCAGCGCACCGGTGTGTTGGGAGAGTAAACCGACAGCATTTACAATTCGAATTGCGTGACATTTTGCTGGTAATTATAACAAGCAGCATCATCAGGTGACAGCCAGAATTGAGTCACCCGGCCACCCCGTGACTCGAGCAATTTGGATGATGTTTATTCCAAAAAACGTGCAGCGTCAATACAAATATTAAAAAAGCAATGTCATCGTGAGTGTCTTCACGGCGACTTCCCGTTTTTTTAATCTGCTAAGCAGATTCATTGAAAAAGAGTCGAACTCGAAGAGTGGAATATCGTGGGGATGGGTGGATGGGAAATTGCCTTCCGAATTTAAAAATGTAGAATTAAGCCATGCTGACATGCACCAAAGCGACAACCGGAATAAACAACACTCGTGGCCAAATGACCCCCACGGACCAGCACGGCGTGGGGAAGCCCTCGTCCAGCAGTGGATTGACAACACGGTGCTGCACGTGTACTTAGGGGCGTGTGATTTTCTTTGGTCATCATGGTTGCTGCTGAACACAGGGCTCAGGTCAAAAATTCCAGGTTGGCCAGCAACCAATGGCACGATTGAAGTTGTGATATCTAAAAGTGTTGATACGTTTCTTGAATTGAGCGAGATTATTACAAGCACTTGAGAAGAGAGATGATGATGATGATGAAAGGGAAGTGAGGTGAACCTGCATTGTGGTGGATGACATGAGACAGTCAGTTCTGGTAGGCCGAGCCCTCGATGTGGGAAGAGGAGGAGGAATCAACGTGTGAAGTTCACGGGAGCAGTGACCGTGGCAGTTGTGATGGAAGCATGATAAGGAAGTGGCTGATCGCTGGTGAGTGAGTGGCTGGAGCGCTTGCTCACACTCACTATGGGCAGGAGCAGTGAATGTCGTGCATGGGACAAAACATAATACTTGCAGAACCCCAGCAGTACTTAGAATGTAAAGATGCATCAATTCATGGATATTAATCGATTTCCATGCCCGTGATCCCTTGCAATACGTATGAGAATCAATTACATTGTATTTACAATTCATGATAGTCGTATACAAATGACCACAGTGTCTCTGAAATGGCCATTATGAACCCTGCGAGAGAGAGAGATATACACACACACACACCCCCAAACCCAGGGCTCAAATCCACGCTGTCAGCAGTGCCGGCCCGGTGTCTCTGACACGGCCATTATGATCCTGCGCCTTGCGGGTGATGTCGCTGCCGCCGGGGTGAAACGTTCCGTGTGGTTGCGAGTGAGCAGGCGCCACCACCATGATGTCGGAGGGCACGCGCAACATCGTGGCGGCCATGAAGCAGCACGGGGTGCGCAGGGTGGTCGGCTGCATGTCCAGTAAGTCCCTGTGGTGGTGGTGACGGGGGTTCGCTTTGGTGACTCGGATCGTGGTGGTGACTGGTGACGGTGGTGGTGATGGTGGTGATGTCAGTGATGTTGCTGATGCTGCTAGTGATGTTGACGATGGTGGTGATATTGCAGTGTTCTTGCTATGAGAGTGAGCCCGTGTGCCGTTACGCTTTATGCCAGTGAAGTTGATGATGATGGTGGTGGTGGTGATGTTGCAGCGTTCTTGCTGTGGGAGCGACCTCGCGTGCCGGCGCGCATGCTGCCCGTCACCGAAGACCACGACCGCATGTTCAGCGTGCTGCGCGAGTCGGCCCTCGACTGGATCGCCGTCATGCCACCGCACATCGATGGTACCTGCTGCCGCCGCTCCGCACACACTCGCATGCTCTCTCGCTTACTCGCACACGCCCACTCACACGCATGCTCACTCGCACACGCCCACTCGCTCACTCGCACACGCCCACTTGCACACGCCCACTCGCTGACTCGCTCACTCACGCACTCGATCACTCGCGCTTGCTCAAACTCACACACGTGTCGTGACGAGTACTGCAAGATGTGACCGTGTCTGTCCAGTGCTTGCTGAGCTGCATTGGCTTCCGGTTGCCGAACGAATACATTGTAAGGTCGCGCTCGTTACACACAAAGTGCTTGCCACAAATGAGCTACAATACCACCCTGCTGATCTCGTCAAGGAGTAATAAACCATCACTCGAACTCCGGTCACCTTCGCAGGGGCTTTTGGCTGGCCATCGAACAAAGACGGTCACCGCATCGCGCACTTTCAGATGCGCTTCTGCCACCGTCTGAAATGCTCTTCCGATATTAGGAAGATGCTGGAGCTTTGCAATTTTAAATACAGATTGAAAAATAATTTCTTTAGAACTGCTTGTTGCCTTTAGTTTTGTTATCCTTACCCCACACCTCCGCTACGTATGGTGCCAAGTTCAACATACATACACGGTCGCCCTTACACATTCACTCTCGCTCACACACAAAGACAAAGATCCCACCCCTATAGCCTAAAGAGACTTTTGGGGCAAGTGCTGTTAGTGAGCACATATGAAGGTTGGCACAGCTCACGAGGGGGTGGAGTGGCCAGCACCACGCTCGGCTGCCTTTGTTTCCCCAGTGCCGATGTTTACACAACGCACCAGGTACTCATTTGACGATGAGTCAACCTAGGAGAGGCCTAGGACCGGTTCAGATAATTGTAACTGGTGTTAGCCTTGAGCGGCAATCGAACTCGGGTCGCCGGGTTCGTAGCGGGTCGCACTAACCGCTACACGACCGCTCCCCACTGTGTGCAGACACACACGCCCTAACCCTGACATAAGCCCAATGCCTACCCTAAACTCTGGCCCTGAATTAAAGTGTCTCTTATCTCTTAACTCTAGTCCTGACTTAAGCCATGACTTGCCTCTTAAACCTAACTCTGAGGACTATCCCCAAACCCAAACATGAACTATCGTCTACCTCTCAAACCTAACCCGAACGCCTACTCTCTAACCCTTACATCAGCCATCACATACCCCAAACAACAAAAGTATTCTTATCCCTGAACTTTACATAAACTATCGTCCACCCCTTAACAGCTTAAGCCTAATGTTTAACTCTTACCCTATGCCCTAACGCAAACTACCACCTACCCATGTGCCTGATGCTGGATAAACATATGACTGTAGTGCGCGAGACACTAGAAAAAAGAAGACCCCATTAATGCATTCCATTGCCTGCCCCCTAACACACACCTTTCCCTACCCCCTAATACACACCCTGCCCTACCCCCTAACACACACCCTGTCCTACCCCCTACCACAGACCCTGTCCTACCCCCTACCACAGACCCTGTCCTACCCCTAACACACACCCTGTCCCACCCCTAACACACACCCTATCCTACCCCCTAACACACACCCTGTCCCACCCCTAACACACACCCTGTCCTACCCCCTAACACACACCCTGTCCTACCCCCTACCACACACCCTGTCCCACCCCTAACACACGCGATTGCTTTGGCTCCCCTTCTCCCACCAGGCAACCTCCCTCTGACGTCGGAGTACACGGTGACGGTGGGCGCCATGGGCGGCCGCGTCATCTCCAAGCACGACCTGGCTCACTTCTTTGTGCGCTGCCTCTCGTCCGACGAGTACGTGGGCAAGGCCGTGAGCCTGTCTCACACCTATGCTCCCGCGTAAGAGCCGCCCTCCAGCCCCGGATCAGCTCCGGCCCGGGTTCCCATCCGAATCGGCTCGGGCAGCCCAGACCGGCCGACTCTGCGGAAGGCACCCCGGCTCAACGCAGTCCAGCCAACAGAGCCACGACGCAGCCCAGCTGGCCTGGTCATCTTTACAAGCCAGCTCAGGCTGCCTTGCCCACCCAACACACATGGTCCAGTTAAATTCCCCACCCCCTGCCACTGCCTCAGCCTACCCAGGAGTTCAAATAGCCTCATCGGCTGTACAAGCTGATGCAGGCCACCACATCCCGAACAAGCCCACCTAGCACACCTCGCGGCATCACTCTCAGGCTGGCCAGCGTCTAACCAGCGTGGAAGAGAAGACCAAATACCCCATATAGGGGGCTCACTCGAGCTCCCCTTGATGGAGGCTGTACCGCCAACGGTGGTGCGAACGTGTCATTGCAGGGCTGCAGCTTTATCGTATGTAGATTGGTGAAACAAATGGAAATTACTCTCTTGGACGAGCATTTCAATTTCGTATTATTACTGCTACAATTTTCACAGAAGCCGTATTCTGTACGTGCTTATTCTGTACGCGCTTATGAGTAAAATCATTTATCTTGTTCCTCTCATCAAATTCATGCCAAGGTCTATTCAATCGCCTTTCCCCTCTCTTGAGACGGAGAGAGCTCACTCTCCGTAGACGCAGTGTTTTGGGTGCTTGGGCCCTTCCTCTCCCCGTGTTGCTCGCCCCCACGGCGTCTCCAGCGATTGCCAATAAATCTTCGTGCACAGTCTCCTCGCCCTCGCCTCGTCTCAGCGTTGCCCCTTTATCGCGAGGGGAGATGCGTCGGCGGTGTTTTCCATCGGTGCCGCTAAGAAAGTGCACATTGTGAAAAGAAAATGCGTGTCAGGTTATCTTTGCTGTGACGCGGATCGGGAACCGTGAACAGTGACAAAGAAAATTGAGCGAAAACTGAAAAGTGCACGATGGAAGCATGGAGAGATGCACTCCCAGAATTACATGCGGACAGGAAGAGGAACACTTGGATGAGAGGAGATACGGTGGTGAGATGTTATCTGTCTCGCCAGGTATGCAGGAGGTCGTGGATTCCATCCCGAGCCTGACGCCTGCTGCTGTATATTTGGAGTTTGCGTGTTTCTCCCTGTGGTGGCGTGGATTTTTCTCCGGGTCCTCTGGTTTTCCCTAAACATTCAGAATCGACGTGCGCTTTATTTGGGCTGCTATAAATTTCCCACGCGATGATAAGCCACTTCGTTGAGCTATTATTTGTGATAGCCAGGTCGCTAATGAAAAGAGCTAAAAAGCTCAGCGGGCCTTACTTGCCTGGTAAAAACTAAAACAGTCATTTGAACTTTTAAGAAACATAAATAGGCCTGGGTAGGACACACGATGGCTATAAGGGATGATGACCGGGGAGTGAGACTAATGATGTAGTGGCAGTCAAAGGTGTGGAACGCACCCAAGAGGAAGATGACAACTGCGGAGATGGGGTGACAAAATCGACTCGCGAGCAGGCACAAGCGGGGGATTTACACATCGGAATCAGAATCGCGATTTAGACTGGAGGATTCATAATAGAGTTTTTGTTTGGTTTAGATCCCGTCAGGGGCCGTCCATAAATGACGTCACGCGAATTTGGACGATTTTTGACCCCCCCCCCCCCCTTCGTCACACGGCGTCACAAAAAGTCAGACCCCCCCCTCATATATGACGTCACAAAGCTCTGCCCCCCCCCCCCCCCCAAAATAAAACATGCTTCAAATCGCTTTAAACTATCGTTATTGTAGTGCGTGTTTAATGTGGCTCTGCACTCTGATGTTGTAGGAGAAAAAAAATATTTAAAAGTATATTTAATTAAGTAGAACGTGTTGGTCTATATTTAAAGTTGCGCATTTTGATGTGACGTCACATTTCTCAAACCCCCCCCTCGTTACACATCGTCACAAATGTCTGAACCACCCCCCCAGGTGCGTGACGTCATTTATGGACGGCCCCTAAATATATAATGTGTCGTTAAGCCCGCCACCACCCGACACAGCCAATTAGTAAGGTTTGTCACTTGAACGGAACGTGACAATTCGTTCCTCGCTCTGCACACCGGTGTGTTGGAGAGTTAAGGGGCCGCCCATAAATGACGTCATGCGCCTAGGGGGGAGGGGGTAAGACGTTTGTGACGATGTGTGACGAGGGGGGGGGTTTGAGAAATGTGACGTCACATCAAAATGCGCAACTTTAAATAGATATAGACAACACGTTCTACTTATTTAAATATACTTTTTAATAAATGTTTTCTCCTACAACATCAGAGTGCAGCGGCACATTAAATACGCACTACAATGACAATAGTTTAAAGCGATTTGAAGCATGTTTTATTTTGGGGGGGGGGCAGAGCTTTGTGATGTCATATTTGAGGGGGGTCTGATTTTTTGTGACGCCGTCCAAAATCGCGTGACGTCATTTATGGACGTCAAGTAAGGGGACATCGCAGGACCCTAAGAGATGACGACGGCCTGGGGAGGCCTTCATCCAGCAGTGGATCGATCATCTCTCACAGATCCATTGGGCCGGGGGGAAGCGATTTCGTCCCCCCCCCCCACCGCTCTCTTGGATCCCCATTGCCTCCACTGCTGGATGAAGGCCTCCCCATGCCATGGTGGTTGGCGACCTGTTTCGGGTATCCGTCGCCACTGATGTTAGCCGTCGCCGGAATCGAATTCGGTGTGCTAACCACTGCGCACCGCTCCCACCGCTCCCCATTCATTTTTTTGAAGGCTGGATAGCTCATAAATATTCATTAATCATGGATATTCATAGCTCATGAATATTAATTTATACAAATATCCGCCACCGCCTCCTCATTGGTTGGAGCCCCGTTGGCCTCGCGTCCAATTGAGCGCGCCTGGCAACGCGCCTCGACCAATGGGAAGCCCGCGAGGGCATCGGTAGCCCCGCCCAGCCACGCAAGCCCCTCCCGCTTGCCGCCGTGAGTCCCGCCTACTTCACACCCCTTTTCTCCCGGTCTACACATTATAGACGACGTTTCGGGGCAGTGGCCCCGTCTTCGTAGGGAAATTGGGTCAGATTGTATGGAGTGGTTCAGAGGGTTTAATCACCAAACTGTTTCTTAAACTTCTCTTATCTCTCTCTCTGACCTCCCTTACGTGCTATTGACAAAACGTCACTTATATCTTTGTAACTTTTATGTTACTAGCCCCCCCCAACTCCCACTAGCCCCCCCCAACTCCCACTAGCCCCCTCCCCAACTCCCACTAGCCCCCCCCAACTCCCACTAGCCCCCCCAACTCCCACTAGCCCCCTCCCCAACTCCCACTAGCCCCCTCCCCAACTCCCACTAGCCCCCCCCAACTCCCACTAGCCCCCTCCCCAACTCCCACTAGCCCCCCCCAACTCCCACTAGCCCCCTCCCCCAACTCCCACTAGCCCCCTCCCCAACTCCCACTAGCCCCCCCTAGCTCCCACTAGCCCCCCCAACTCCCACTAGCCCCCCCAACTCCCACTAGCCCCCCAACTCCCACTAGCCCCCCCAACTCCCACTAGCCCCCCCCAACTCCCACTAGCCCCCCCAACTCCCACTAGCCCCCCCCTCCAACTCCCACTAGCCCCCTCCCCAAGTCCCACTAGCCCCCTCCCCAACTCCCACTAGCCCCCTCCCCAACTCCCACTACCCCCCCCAACTCCCACTAGCCCCCCTAGCTCCCACTAGCCCCCCCATCCCACCAGCCCCCTCTAGCTCCCACTAGCCCCCCCCCATCCCACCAGCCCCGCCCTCCACCAGCCAGCCCCGCCCACCATCCCATCAACCCACTTAGCCCCGCCTACCCCCACTAAGCCGCGCCCCCCCCACAGCCCCGCGTCGGCCGCTTCGCGTTGGGAGCGCGAGACGCTGAGGGAGATAAAAGGCGGGAGACGATGGCGAGCGCGCGATAAGGAACGAGGAGAGCGAGAGAGAGACGAGAAAGATAAACATTTAAAGGCAATCGCGGATTAAAGGTCACAACCGCTGAGGACAGAGGAAGGCGGGCAGCAGGCCGGCTCGGAGCGGGCCGCCGTCGTTGGGCCGAGACGAGGAGGAGAAGAAGTTGAGATTTGAGGAGAGACCGCATCAAGTTCTTCTTCTTACCCGGAGTCGAACTCGGTAGAACTTTCACCCTTGGCTCTGCGGCTCGGTGAGTTGTGAGTGAGTGATCTGATGATGATGCTGATGCTGCTGTTGAGCGTGGTTTGTTGAGGTGAAGTACACGCTCAGTGTGTGTACCACAGTCATACTACTTTGTTAAACCCGGGGCGCAAGTCTTCGCGGAACGTTGTTGGCCCAACGTTGAGTCAACGTTGGGCACGAACTTTCGACCACGTACAAACGTCGACCCAACGCTGTTGGCATGTTCACTGGCTTGGGTTAACTTTTTCGTTGCACAATAAAGCCTGCGGATGTCACGCCTCTCACTCGTCAAAGTCGCGAGCTTTACATCATTGTGGAAGCTTCATCGTGCGAGAGACGATCTATTATCGTTAATTACGAATCGATTTGTGTCTTCCTCTGTACGATGCCGGTAGATTAGATCGCATGTAAGGACCCCCCTGGTTTTAAGACATAAACTCTGTTCTTCCCGCCGCACATGTAACATGCCCGTGTTTAAACGACGCTTGGGTTTTAAACGAGATAAACGAAGGGGAACTTGCCATGCAAGTTGGTGCTTGCCGATAAGCAGGCTCAGAGAGGTCGCGAGTTGGAACAAAAAGAGCTTCATAGCTCATCGGATACCTCCAGTTATACAGACACAATCCCCATTCTTGAGTTAAAATTTCCAGCTACACCCATCGCTTCCAATGAGTTATATGATTTAAAAAAAAGTGTCGCGTGTGGTGAGGTAAAGTGTGGGTAACGCACACGACAACTATTTAGACTTTAAACAATTTTGTTTTACCACGTGTAAGGCCCCACTGAACTGCCGATCACAAATTATAGCTCAACGAAGTGGCTTATCATCGTCACCACCATCGTGTTGGAAATGTAAAGCAGAGAGCCAAATACTCGAAATGTCGCGATTCTAAATGTGGAGGGGAAAACCCGAGGAGAGAGACTGAAAACTCCAAACATACAGCAGCAGGGGTGAGGATCGAACCCACGACCTCCTGTATACCTGGCGAGGTAGTTAACATCTCACCACAGAGAGACACGCAAACTACAAATATACAGCAGCAGGGGTCAGGGTCAGGATCGAACCCACGCCCTCCTGTATACCTGGCGAGATAGTTAACATCTCACCAGAGAGAGAGAGACACGCAAACTCCAAATATACAACAGCAGGGGTCAGGGTCAGGATCGAACCCACGGCCTCCTGTATACCTGGCGAGGTAAGCTGTAATAGGTGCTCTGATTGAGCAATTGCAGAGCTGCGCCTTGACTTTTTGAACTTAAGAAACGAGGGCAAAAATGCAACCTTACGCGGTGACCTATAAATCCGCCGTGCCGTTTGTACGTTTTTGCTAATTAGCGTATTCGTTACTGCTGGACACGGTTACCGGTTTAACCTTGTACAGGGCTGCGGTATGCACCGCGGCTTGGAATCGAACTTGGGATTTGCGCGGTTCGTAGGCCAGTGCGGGAGCAAAGTATGTTCGACGCAAGCCCCCAGCAATCAACTGGTGGTGGGTGGGGGATTCCTTCATCCAGCAGTGGATTGACCAAGGATTTGTGACCCGGAAAGATGCTGCTAGGCTGGCTTTTCGAGTAGAGGTTATCGGCGTAAGGCACTACCACTAGAGTACAAGGTAGGCCTGTCTTATCACAATCCTACATTGTTGTGCCCTGCATTCCTGTAGTCGTGTAAACGGGTGCATATAAATACGGGATTGGGTATGATGAGGATAAAATATGGACAATTAACTCCACGAACAGCGTTACGTAACGTTCTCGATTAAGTGAAGCACTGTGTGAAAAGTTGCACTCTGCATCACACAGGTGCAGCATCAGAAGCATTGTGTGCCCGCGAATTCAAGACCCTTGCACAACCCACAGCCGATCATTCTCACAGGACTCTCATCGTGCTGAACCGCACGCAGTAGACATGTGTACCACCCCGTACAACGCCCGGCAAGCCAGACTTTGATAGGTCCGTCTATCTGAAAGGTTGTGGCTAGCCGAGATTTCAATTAAAATGTACGTGAAAATCAGTACACGTGTGTGCGTGTGTATTCCGTATGTTAATACAAAATGTTACCATATATATAACCAATAAGTTGATTAATCGACTTTTAAGTATATTAATCGACAAAAAATTGGAATTGGCTGGTCTTCAAACGGTGTCCGCCCCCACATCCTGGACCTCCGAAGGGGTCAAACCCCCTACAAGCCACGCCCACCGAGGCCCCGCCCACCACCTCCCGTCCAGCGGCACCCGCAGGAACATTCGTGTACACGGCACCTTTTCTTCCCCCCAATGTTATCCGATTAGTCGAGAGAGTGACTGGAACCGATGGTCGATATAGCGATCGGGTTTCCTCAATAAGTACGGTCAAACGACCACAGCGAAACAGCACAGCATGGGGAGGCCTTGACGGAGCAAGCTGGTTTACTCGAGGGGCTGTGTTCTCTCCGGATTAATAAAGTTACAAAAATCTGGTCTCTCACACACGCACAGAGCTTCCAGATTGTCAGATGCACTCCCAACTATTGCAAAATAAAACAGGGAAACTCAGTGCGTCTTGTAATCGGGATAATTGTGGTAACATGTGCAATACAGAGTACAGTACTTACCTTGGTGAGTTCTCTACATCTGCAGAAAATATAGGTGAAGACCCAAAAGGCTGTTGCCGGGAAGAGACACTCAGGACAGAACCTTGGTGGGCACGTGCCGACGCTCTGAGAAATCTGGCAGATGGAAGGAAGTGATGGGCCTGGTGCGGCGGCGTCAACACCTTTGGCCGCGGTGACCTCGTGAACTTTTGACCGTAGCAAGAAAGTAAAATGTTACTTTCACTTTTTTTGCTCGACCGGAACACTCCAACTACATTGATGGAGGCAGCGCTGATTGTCGCTGCCCGCTTGGCGATTCGGGCCTTTTTGCGCCCTGTGATCGGTGAACCACCGGTGTGAAATAGAATTGTGCAGAGGTGAACTCTCGTGAACTTTCTGTTGGGGCTCCGCTTCCCATGATTAATGTCCTATAATGCGGCGGTAATAATAATAAAAATCACAGTGCTTTGTCACAGCCACTACTGGATGGTGACGTTGGTTGTCCATACTTCACCATGCGGGTAAATGCAGGTTGGTGCAAGTGGTTGCCCTGTTTGCTGCGTCAAGGCTTCCCCGTGCTGTGCGGGTTCGCTGTGGGTCATTTGACTGTACGTCACCGCGCGGTTGGCCAAAAAATGGGAAGCGTAAAACTTGGGAGCGTAGAAGTACAGTGCAACATTGGGTTTTAACTGCACTGCCCTCTGCTGCTGCTGCCATCCAAACGTAACCCCTGCAGCACTCTATTGCAACCTCTGTGCACGCTGGTTGCCCATCCCAGGACTATGCGGGCTCAGACCTAAAACTAAACTATTTTTGTTTTACCAGGTAAGGCCCACTGAGCTATGTAGCTCTTTTTCAGAAGCGACCTGCCTATCACAAATTATAGCCCAACGAAGTGGTGGCTTATCGCGTGGAAATTTATCGCAGCCAAATACTCTAAACGCGTGATGTTAATTATAAATGTGGAGGGGAAAATCGGAGGACCCGGAGAAAAATTTCTGCGACCGAGCAGAGAGAGAAACATCGCAAACTCCAACTATACATTAGCAGGCGTCAGGGTCGGGCTCGAACCCACGACCGCCTGCATACCAGGCGATGGAGTTAACATATCGCCACCTGCTTGACTTGCGAGGTCTGACGAGATGGGTGGCGCATTCCGTGTGATTGGATCACAGGTTAGGTGAGTTTATAATCTACCGCAGTAAAAATGCAGGAAGGTAATGAGTCACCCACACAGCCAGCGATGTGATAAATTGCTTTCGCGAATATTTTCGCCTCGTTTTTACCAACTCATTGTTGCCGTTTCTAGTTTATTTTTGTCTTAATTTGTACGGTTTTCTTTACATCATTCTTCTTTCTCACATATACTGTACTTCCCCAGTAAACATGGCCCAACGAATCCAACCTCGCAAACTTGTGGCCCAGTGTTGGCTTGTTTACTGGGCTGGCTGTCAATTCACTGCTGGAGGAGGGCCTCTGTCAATGTGTGGGGATTTTTTTTTACAATTAGTCACCCACGGCCTTTAGCGCGGCTTGATAGTACAGTAGCCGTTTGTTAAACCGGGAAAACACGAAACAGGGGTTCGACTTGACAGAGGATCATCAGCAAGACCTGGCCTCGTGAGCCAAAGCCACTGTTTACCCAGGCGCCAGCGACACCTTCGCCTTGGTTTCAACTTGATTGGGCATCATCGGCAAGACCCAGGCTCTTAATACAAAAAAACCACCGTCTACACTGGCGCTCGTGGCACCTTCGCCTCGGTTTCAACTTCATTGGGCATCATCGGCAAGCCGTGGCCTCGTCAGCTGAAGCTGCCGTGTGCCGAGATTTTTTATTTTGGGAACGTTTTGGTTTGGTTTTCGGCACGATTGAGCCACGGCCGGGGGTTGTTAACAGCGGGTAGGAGCGGCAGCCCCGCAAACGGAACAGGAGGGTAAATGCAAGGATTGCAGCAGTGCGTAGCGAATGGGCGCGTTCACGAGATATTGGTGTGGACGAGCGTGCGCGTGTGCCCGACGGAGCGCGTGTGCGAGCGGACAAAGAGCGGAAGTGTAGCGGGTTAGCGAGTCGCCCTACGAAGCCCGCCCTCCCTCCCGAGTTCGATTCCCGCTCGCTGCCACCAACGCCCGGTGACGGAACATCTGAACCGGTTCCCTCGGCCTCTCCCCTAGGTCGACTCGGCCTCAAATGAGTAGCTGGTGCGACGTGTAAACATCGCCGCCGGGGAGACAAAAGCGGCCCGGGGTCGTGGTGCTGGCCACCCACCACCCCCTCGTGCGCCCCCCGCGCCAGCCATCATAGCCTGCTGCTCGCGAACAGCGCTTGGCCACAACAGTCTGTTGAGGCTACACGGGGGACCTTTGTCTTTGTATGGGTCGCATGGCTCTGGGCCAGCTCTGGCTGCCTAAACAATGTCTGCCTTGTCTGGCAGGTGACGACGGCGGCGGCGTGCGGGACAGCCTCGTGCGCCGTTTTATTTATTTGCCAGCGTTTATTTATTTTATTTCCAGTTATTTTATTTGTTTGTTATGGGGCCATCCATTTAGTAGGTACGCAAAAATCTGTCAAAGCTTGACCCCCCCCCCTTCCTGTACGAACGCGTACTTTTTATACACCCCCCCCCCACCCGAATCTTAGAGAACGGCCGATATTTAATCCACGCAGAAACAATCCAGGATTAATAACATTAACATGTTTAAGCAAACAGTCCACCGCCGGACTATCTAACTCATTTGAAAGCCAATGTAGACAAATTATTATCGAGGCCTCACCCCCCCCCCCCCCCCCCCCCGTTTCCTATGCGTAAATTGTCAGTAGGCCCCCCATACGCAAGCGTGCGCATTTGGAGTAACCCCCCCCCCCCCTCCATGCGTACGTACTAAATGGATGGCCGCTATCTTTAGGTCTGGTTATTTATTTATTTTCTTGCTTGCGCTCCCATTCGCTTGTGTCGCTCGCCTCGCCAGTCGATTTCGTAAATCTTATTTCTCTCTCTGACGCCGCCCGTCCGTCCGCTCGCTGTCGTGAGCGGAATTTTGGCGGCGGGCTGGAGACGGCGTCTTGGGGGGGGGGGGGGGGGGGGTGTGGTACGGGTTGCTTCAGCAGCCTCAGGAGGGGGCCCGCTTGAGCGATCTGGGGGGTGGAGGGGGGGCGCTTGAGTGGTCTCCCCCTAGGGGGATCTTCAGGACCACCGTCAACTCCGCTCGTTGACGTCCACCCCCCCCCCCCCCGCAGTTTAATTTTTAAGGAGATTAATCCACGGGGGGTGGGGGGCTCAAAATCCACCCCACAGTATACTTCTGAAGTGATTTGTTTACCTCTCCTATACTTGCACTTCTTGTCACGTTTTCGTATTTCGTTTGTCGTAACGTTCTGACCCCGTGGCCCCCCGACTGGATATCTGTGAAAAAGAGCTTCATAGCTCATTGGACTCTTCAAGTATAAAATACTGATTCTGCTTGCTTGAGCAAATAAGGACAGAACGCTCCTTATCGCTCGCGCACTCTCACGAGCCCAGTCCATCACCAACGCTTCGCGCCGATCGCACACTTGCTAAGCCAACAACAACAACTCTGTTTCAACTCTGTCGCGAAACTGGTTCGGACTCGATGATGGCTCCTGAAGGCCGCCGGTCACTGGCTCCGGCTCTCCGGACGCCAGAGGCACCGACAGCCGATCTGGCCGCTCCGCCGCACAAGGTTGGCGCGCTGCGAACTACGGCAGCGGATCGACCACAATAGTAGTACAGGGGACTCCTCTACTTACGAACGAGTTAGGTTCCAGAGGTCTCTTCGTAAGTGATTTGTTCGTAAGTCCCACTTTACGCTTGTCGATTCCAAACGTGTTGTACGGCGTGTTCACTAAACATGGGGGATGGCTTTAAAAGTTGTGTTATCTCCTACAGATGTAGATGCCACCAGTTCTTCACATTCTGCAGATGTAGATGCCAGTAATTCTTCATGTTCTGCCGATGTAGATGCCACTGGTTCTTCTTGTTCTACAGATGTAGATGCCACTGGTTCTTCTTGTTCTGCAGATGTAGATGCTACCACCGCCATCTATTGCGTGGCGGTTAAACTTACAACTCTGGGTCCGAACAGACAACTGGACGCACGGACAGGTACGGTCGTATCTCTGAACGTTCGTAAGTCGAATCTTCGTAAGTAGAGGAGTCTCTGTAATGATAATGACGAGAGATTCTATTACGTTTTGATATTCGCGCCATTCCAACAAAGTGCAAGGCTATCCACGCTGGCGCGCTGCCTACCAGAGACATGCTCTGCAGTAGTTTCAATGTAGCGGGCGATGTTCTAAACTATATATTTTTTTATTTTACCAGGTAAGGCCCACTTCTGAGCTACGTAGCTCTTTTTCAGAAGCGATCTGGCTAGCACAAATTATAGCTCAACGAAGTGGCTTATCACGTGAAATTTTATAGCAGCCAAATGCTCTGAACGCATGATGTTGATTCTAAATAAGGAGGGACCACTAGGAGAGAGACACACAAACTCTTAATGTTACAGGCATCGTCAGGGTCGGGACGCAGCGTCTAATCCAAATTGCGTAATTCGCGGTGTAACCCTTTTCAGCTCTGGACCGTGATGCCGGCACACAACGGGCCACTTTTGTCAAACGTCGTCACGCGCAATCTTTTCATGTCCGCTGACGAGCGGACGGCAAGTTGTTTTTTTGTTGTTGCTGCTGCTGCGATCGACACCACGGCGATGACCAGGGGCGGCCGTCTGGATTCGAACCGCGAGCCAATGGCAAGCGGCGAACGCGCTACCGCTGCGCCGCATCACCCCTGCCCCCCCCCCCCCCCCCCCCCGATGGAGTTTAAACAACTTTGTTTTGTACTGACAGAAAACGGCAAAGCACAATATGAGTACGGTGAAAAAATAAAAATATGAAATTCCAACTTTAGGTTGTGGAAAAATGTACATTGTGGTGATCGTCACATGGTGACGAAATTTGAGATGGAATCGTTAAGAAATACATCGCGACGATGCCTATCAGCCGTACACGAGAAGAATAAGTATTAGACTCTGAGCGTCCTTGCTGCGTGAGGAATGCGAGGAATCCTGTGTGTGTGTGGGCGTGTGTGTGCGCGTGAGTGGGGAGCGGTAGTGTAGTGGTTAGCGCGTTGCGCGATGAACCCGGCCACCCGAGTTCAATTCCCGCTCGCGGCCAACACCACTGACAATTATCTGAACCGGTCCTAGGCCTCCCCTAGGTCGACTCGGCCTCAAATGAGTCCCCGGTGTGATGTGTAAACATTGCCACTGGGGAGAAAAAGGTGGCGTGGTGTTGGCCACCCACCCACCCCTTCGTGTGCCACACCAGCCTTCATAGGTGCTACTCGCAAACAGCACTTGCCCAAACAGTCTGTTAAGGCTATGTCGGGATCTTTGTCTTGGTGCACAAGTGTGCGCGTATGAGTGTATGTATGCGAGTGTTTTCACGCGATGCTCTTCGCGGGGAGCGGTGGCGCAGTGGTTGGCGCCACGAAACCTGTCGACCCTAGTTCAGTTTCCCCGCTGTCGGCCACCAAGACCGGTGACGATTGTCTGAAACCGGTCCTGGGTCTCGCCTAGGTCGACTCGGCCCTCAAATGGGTGCCAACCGCGCATGCAGTCTGTGAACATCACCGCTGGGGGAGACAAAGATGGCCGGGCGTGGGATCTGGCCACACCACTGCTCGTGCCGCCTGTGCCATCCCTCGTCGGTGCTCGCCCAACAGCACTTGCCCTGCAGCCTTTGTTGGCTGCACAAGAGGGGGAGGTTGGGAAATCTTTGTCTTTGTGTGCCCTATACCTCCCCCCCCCCCCCTGTCTAGCCAGGGTTTTGTTTGAGCTGCCCGCATTATTATTCCGAGTCAAAGTAGTGGTGGTGGTGTTGTTCCTCGGCTCGTTATTGGAGTGGCCCCTTAGCCTCCTCCGGTGGGTGGCCCTTTCTAAACTAGCGGAGGCAACCAGCTGTGTATATATGTACGTATGTAAGTTGAACTTATTTCGCACCGTACGTAGGCAACCATACTATAATCGGAGGTGCGGGGCGAAGGGCAATTAACTAAACACAAGCAGTTTTATTGAGTTTTCAATCTAGATGATTTAAAAGTGCATAGCTCCAGTGGCTTGCTAATACCAGAAGGAAGAGCGTTCCAGACGGCCACAGAAGCGCATCCGGAAGAGCGCGATGCGGTGACCGTCATTCTGCGCTGGCCAGCCAAAAGCTGCGGGGATGACCGGCGGAGTTTGCGTGATGACGGTTTATGCTCTTCGCTTGTGGCGAGAGCTTCGTGTGTGACGAGTGGAACATTTCTGAAAAGGTGGCCACATTTAGTTTTCCAACTTTGTTGCAAAAGGGAGGAGGCGTGTTTACTGAGTGCGTCGTTGGCGGCCACCTGCCATGACGCGGTTCAGCAAACATCGCTCCCCCCCCCCCCCCAACGAAAGTTACAGAACGGAAGCTGAAGAGTGCGCAGAGAAGCGTGGGGAGATGCACCCTTCGCGATTACGCTGAGACTGGATTGGAAACACGTGGATGAGAGAACATACGCTTGCTAGGGGCCTGATTCTGAGCTTTTTTTTTTACCAGGTAAGGCCCATTGAGCTCTGTAGCTTTTTTTCAGAAGCGACCTGCCTGTCACAATTAATAGCTCAACGAAGTGGCTCATCGTGTGGAATTTTATAGCAGCCAAATACTCAACGCGCATTTCTAAATGTGGAGGGAGAAAAAACGGAGGACCCGGAGAAAAATCCACGCGACCAGGGGGAGAGAGACACCGCAAACTCCAAATATACAGCAGCAGGCGTCAGGGTCGGGAGCGAACCCACGACCCCCTGCATACCAGGGGAGGTAGTTAACATCTCGCCACCGCGACACCCTATTATGATTATGATCCTTCAGGGGTCACTCTTCCTCGGCTGCAAGATATGTCGGCCCATGCCAGTGAGTAGTGACAGTTCAGGCCACGGCTGATGAATCAGCTGGAAGCTGCTACACGCTTGCCCTGCCCCCACACCACAACACCCGCAACTACCAAATACAAAGATCCCCGTGCAGCCCACGCGGGGTCTTGGGGCAAGTGCTGCTCAGTGAGCACCTGCAAAGTTTGGCACGGCGCACGAGGAGGGTGGGTGGCCATCTCCATGCCCGGGCTGCCTTTTCCTCCCCCACGCTGATGGTTTTCACACCGCGTCGTGTGCTCATTTGTAGCCGAGTCAATCTGGCGGAGGCCCAGGCACCCGTTCGGGCATTGGTCACCCACGGGCGGGAATCGAACTGAGGACTCCCGGTTCGTAGCTCAGTGCATCAGCCAGTACATACAAAAAAAACCCGCCTACCAACGCGGCGTTGGGTTGATTCCTTTGTCCGGCAGTAGATGGACTAAAGATCACCGCACTCTGCCATGACCAAAGACAAAAAAGACAAAGGTCCACTATGTACCCTTAAGAAACTCTGGGGGCAAGTGCTGTTACCGAGCACCTTTTGAAGGCTGGCACAGCGCACGAGGGGGTGGGCGGCCAACACCATGCCTGGCCGCCTTTGTCTCCCCCGTGACGATGTTTACACCCCATACTAGGTACTAATTTGAGGCCGAGTCGACCTAGGGGAGGCCAAAGACCGGCTCAAATAATCGTCACCGGTGTTGTCCGTGAACGGGAATCGAACCCGGACCGCCGGGTTCGTAGCGCGGCGCCCTAACCTCGCACGTGTGCCCCTGCCAGCGCCACCCTAACCCTCGGCAAACAACACAACACAGGAATTCCTCGCGGAGCCACAAAGGAGGGATTATTCTGGATCCTTGCGCCCACTCGCCCTGCCCCCTGACCCTCGCTGCAGGTCGTGACCTCCCCGCTGCGACCCCTGGAGGCTTGCGCGTCCGCGATGTTTTTCACCGAGCCCGCTGCCCCCGAGGCTCGTCTTGTCCTCGGCGTCGTCGTGAGGTGGAGCCGGGGCCGATCGGCCGTTCGAGTCGATTTTAACGACTTGGGATTGTAAAAGCGATCGATTTAACCCGGTTGCTTTAAAAAATGTCAGTCCACCACATCCTGTATCTCGAAGGCTGGAAACCCCCCCGCCACCGCTGATCGAGAGAAGTCACAGCCTTCTCTTTCTCTCTCTCTGCGAGATTTGAAGCAGGCTCTCCGTCCGCTTCCATCTTCTATTTTAAGGACGAAACGAGAAGACCTCTTTCGCATATTCTGACTGCTCGGCTGATGAGGCTGGGTGCAGTCGCCAGCGTAACGTCCCGGTACTCGAAGTGCAAATTTCGTGGGTTTAACTCTCCCAACGCACAGGCGTGTGCTGAAATGGTAACTAATTAGTCACGTTTTGTTTATGTAACAAACCTTTACTAATTTGGCTGTCGGGTGGTGGCGGGTTTAACGACACTACATATTTACACAGCGAAGCCAACAAGCTTTATTACGGAAAATATTGGTCTCGAAAAGGCCTACGTGTTAAACGGGTTCTCAATTTCATCATTAGACCTTTGCCAGTAGAAAAATATGAGAATAGGGTTTTTCGACTTTTTTCTGGCAACAAAACTGAAACCTTTTTATAAGGAATCGTGTCTGATAATATATGCATTGTCCTTGAAACTGATTGGTCCACACCAGAGACAGCTTTCTTTTGAGCCTCATCTCAAATGGTGCTAGACCAGAGAACGCCAAAAGGTGCTTTTCGGAAGGGTCAAAATCCCTCAAATCTTGGCGATTTCAAATGGCAAAAAACAATCCCCAATGCGAAAATGGAAAAAACCTTTTCGGCCGAGTCGGTGATGTCACACACCTTGTTTGGGTGTTTACAGTGGATGGTACAGGATTGAGCAAGCACAATCCAGAGAATGCAATTGATACAATCGCAGAGCAATGGGAAACTGATCATGGCAGTAGTTATCATACCGTCAAAGTCGATGTCGTGAACGATGACGTCGCGACCGCCCCGAGCTAAACAAGAAACGGTTGATGCGTCGAAATAAAACTCCTCACGAGAAATGGCGATAGGCGTGGTGGAGACCTCGTGTCCAGCAGTGTATAGACCATGGCGACGGCGGCTGGCAAAGCAACGCCACCACCGCGCTCGGCTGCGGCGTCGCGCTCGGCTGCTCATTCGCTGAGCCAGCGCTGCTACTCGAGTGCGGCGACGTCGAGTTGAGGAAGCGGTCGGCGAGATAAATTTGACTCGCGGTGGCGGTCGTGGCGGTGGCGGTCGTGGTGGCGTCGCTAGTGGGCACAGAGCCGGCCGCTCCTCACCATCGGGCAAAGACGGCCGCTGCATCGCCCGCTTTGAGATGCGCGATGTTTAGGTTGTTGTCTTGTCCCCCTCTCTTACCCCTGTCTGTCCCCTCCCTTACCCCTCTCTTACCCCTCCACGCAGTCTCCCCACAGACTCTCGATACGTTATAGGGTCGCACTCATTGCACACGAAGTGCTTGCCACAAATTAACCGCAATACCTCGCTGATCTCATCAAGGAGCAATAAACCATCATCACGCGAACTCTGGTTATCATCGCAGTGGCTTTTGGCTGGCCATCGAACAAAGACGGTCACCGCATTGCGCGTGTTCAGATGCGCTTCTGCGGCCGTCTGCAACGCTCTTCCTTACAATATTAGGAAGCCACTGGAGCTATGCACTTTTAAATCATCATATAGATTAAAAACTTTTTTTTTGAACTTCTTGTTGTGTTTAGTTTGTTGTCCAACCCCGGCACCTCCGATTTAGCACAGTTGGCTACGTACGGCGTGAAAGAAGTTCAATGTACATACATACCCGTGGCTGTGCCGCCGCTGACCCTGTTTCCGAGTGAAGTTGAGAACCGTTTGTTGTCAACCCTTTCCAACTGAAGTTGAAGTGGCGTTACTTCTAAGACGCTTCCTATACCTAAGAAAGCCTCGCAGAGTCTCAAGACTCGCTCGCAGGAAGGGGTCCCGTTAGATTTTTTCAGCAGTGGGCGATGTTGCCGCTGCTGCTTTGTGTGTCATTCCCAATTGAGTAATTTTCTGGTACATTTTTTTCTATCACCAATACCAGTTATACATTGCATGTTTTTTTTTTATATGGGAGGACAGGAGAAACGCAGAGAAAACCCGTGCTGAACAGGGGAAGAACATCAATAATACAGGTTTTTTGGGTTAGAGCGCATAAATATATAAATGTGTCGATAACCCGCCACCACCGGACAGCCAATTAGTAAGATTTGTAATGAATTTGCATGTTCTGTTTACGTGACAAACCTTACGAATTGGCTGTGTCGGATGGTGGCGGGTTTAACGACATTTATATATTTACACGATCTAACCCCAAAAACCTGCATTATGGATTATATTGGTTGTGAAAGCTGAAGGGAAGAACACACAAACTCTGCACGGAAAGGCAGCAACCGAGTTGGGGATCGAACCCAGGCCCTTCTTGCTGCGCGGCACGAGCGTTACCACTTGGCCGCCCTGCCCGTCTTGTGTGTCTGCAACAGACGGAACATGGTAACTCCTTTTAAAGGTGGTCATATTTGGACCATAGTTGTTACTGCCCCTCTCCGCACCTCTCCGCACCTCCCATTAGCTCAGTTGGCTACGTGCGGTGCGGAAGAAGTTCAACGTAGGTACTTAGTTTGGGTTGCATGGCCACAGTGGCGTGACTGCGGCCTCTGTGTCTTTAATTTCCCATTCGTGAAGGAGATATGTTGCGCATCGGCCTGCTGGTGTTCTGACGTGGCCGATGGTAACGCCACCCGCCAGTGTCTTCGACGAGGAGGAGGTGGAGTAGGAATGTCAAA